TTTCTCCATATACTCTTCCCTCCTTGCATCACTTCTACTTTGTAAAAACTTCTCATATGCTAACTTTTTCTCCCTTACTACTCTCTTTACATCATCATTCCACCAATCGCTCCTCTTCCCTCCTGCACCCACTTTCCTGTAACCACAAACTTCTGCTGAACACTCTAACACTACATTTTTAAACCTACCCCATACCTCTTCGACCCATTGCCTATGCTTCATTAGCCCATCTATCCCCCAATAGCTGTTTATATCTTACCCTAACTGCCTCCTCTTTTAGTTTATAAACCTTCACCTCTCTCTTCCCTGATGCTTCTATTCTCCTTGTATCCCATCTACCTTTTACTCTCAGTGTAGCTACAACTAGAAAGTGATCTGATATATCTGTGGCCCCTCTATATAACATGTACATCCTGAAGTCTACTCAACAGTCTTTTATCTACCAATACATAATCCAACAAACTACTGCCATTTCGCCCTACATCATATCGTGTATACTTATTTATCCTCTTTTTCTTAAAATATGTATTACTATAACTAAACCCCTTTCTATACAAAGTTCAATCAAAGGGCTCCCATTACATTTACACCTGGCACCCCAAATTACCTACCACACCCTCTCTAAAAGTTTCTCCTACTTTAGCATTCAGGTCCCCTACCACAATTACTCTCTCACTTGGTTCAAAGGTCCTATACATTCACTTAACATCTCCAAAATTCTCTCTCTCCTCTGCATTCCTCTCTTCTCCAGGTGCATTCACGCTTATTATGACCCACTTCTCGCATCCAACCTTTACTTTAATCCACATAATTCTTGAATTTACACATTCATATTCTCTTTTCTCCTTCCATAACTGATCATTTAACATTACTGCTACACCTTCCTTTGCTCTAACTCTCTCAGATACTCCAGATTTAATCCCATTTATTTCCCCCACTGAAACTCTCCTACCCCCTTCAGCTTTGTTTCGCTTAGAGCCAGGACATCCAACTTCTTTTCATTCATAACATCAGCAATCATTTGTTTCTTGTCATCCCCACTACATCCACGCACATTTAAGCATCCCAGTTTTATAAAGTTTTTCTTCTTCTCTTTTTTAGTAATGTATACAGGAGAAGGGGTTACTAGCCCATTGCTCCCGGCATTTTAGTCGCCTCATACGACACGCATATATATATATATATATATATATATATTATATAATATATATATATATATATATATATATATATATATATATATATATATATATATATATATATATTATATATATATATTTATTTATATTGTTTTGTATTACTATATCAAGATTTTTAAATGCAACTAGAATTTTGCAGTTCTTAAATAGAGAAGGTATATCAAGAAAGTTTTCAGGACATGGCAGAACCATCATATTCTTGGTTGAATATAGTTCCTTATCCATTCTAGGATTATAAAATGTATTGTAATTTAAAAAAAAAAAGCCAATGAAAATTGGATATTTTACATCAAATGCTATTTCATAACTCTTCAGTATTTCCTCATCTATGAACTCTGAGCTGAAAATCAAATAGAGTATCCTCTGTCCTCTACCAAGACTTTAAAAGTGAGTCTAGAGAAGTGTCCCTAGGTACACCACAGGGAGGAGTTCTCAGTTCCATGCTATTTAATATTCTGATTAATGCTCTCCTAAATGTTCTACCTGCCTCACCTAAACATATAGCTATAAGCTATGCTGATGACATCATGATCCACACAACAGGGCATAAGAAGATGAATACAATACTTAATGAAGTTCAAGCAATTTGTAATCAACTAGGTCTCATAATATCTTCCTCTAAAACAAAGATATTAACAAGCAAACGACATCCCCCACCCATCTATTTGCAGGGTGAAAACATCAGCTACGTTAAAACTTACAGATATCTTGGTGTAGATGTACCCTTTAACAAATCCACTATACCACAACTAAATAAGAAATGCAAAGATAGGCTAAATGCTCTCAAAACTGTTGCTGGTTACAACCCCAACTATGGTGCTAATGTGAGAATCGTGAGAATGATGTACATAGCCTATGTTAGGTCCTTAATTGATTATGCTGCTCCCATATTGATATTAGCTAGAAAAAGTTCCCTCCGACATTTGGAGTTAATGCAAAATGAAGCTCTCAGAATTATTCTCGGTTGTCCCAAATCTACAAAGGTTCTTAATATGAGGAAGAAGCTAGGTATTTCTAGTATCAATGATAGGATTGTTGAGATTAACACTGTACTCGGTATTATAATGTTAAGAAATGAACCAGACACTGTCACAATGAACCAGACACTGTCATAATGAACCTTACCAAGTGTCTAGAAGTAAATACACACAGATCTAAATGGATTGTGAAAACGTGCAATTGCATTAAGTTTTATAACCTGTATGAACTGTATCACTGTAGACAACAAGAGCATTTCACCCCTCCATGAAAGATGTGTTCATTTAATATCACATACCTGCAAGTCCCTCCCAAGAAGCTCATTGCTATTAATCCCTTCCTTAAATCACTTGTTAAAGCAACTGCTCAAGAAGAAATTTCTCGCCTAGCTGGTAGTAATAAGTTATCACAAGTAATATACACTGATGAATCTAAACAGGAGTCTTCTGGCAGGGCTGCATCTGCTCTTGCTGCCACTTCCCTAGTTAAGAACGATAATAGACTTGTTGAACTAGGCATAAGAATTAACAACTGGGCGTCTACATTGCAAACTGAACTGTTTGCTATCCTAATGGCGCTAAAGCTAACCTATGACACTGAGCTAGACTCTATCATCATTGCTGATTCTATGTCATCACTGAAGGCTCTTAACTCATATAATGACTCCAACAACATGCTCATTGGAGAAGCCAGGTATAGATACTCAAAAATCAGGGACAAAGGAATTAATGTACAATTGCTATTGTACAATTGCTATGGATCCCATCACACACTGGATTACTCCTTCATGATAAAGTTGATATGTTAGCTAAGAAGAGTACCTAGACGGAGAGTGTAGAATATAACTTTGGTATATCTGTGTCTAGCATTAGGAATAATATTAGGGGAGAAGTAAATAATGAAAATGATTGTTATAGATAAGTATGTTTATGGAGCAACTTGCAATGTGAACAGACTGACTGATGTTGTAGTGGCCAGACTTAGGCTTGGTTATAAGTACTTCTGGCAGTTTGGGAGACACACAGATGATCAAACTAAATGTAAATTATGTGATCAGGCATATGGTCACTGTCTTGAACACTATGTGCTTAATTGTCCACTTATTGAGGAAGACGGAGATAGACAATATAATAACCCACGTGACATGTCAAGATATCTTATTAATGAAAATAAGATACCAGATATACAAAGCAAATTTCCTAAATTTGCCTGTAACAGATAATTGAACTATAGATATGTAGATATAAATCCATACGTATTCCTGTTAACCCTTTGGGGCCTAGTTCCTAGGCCTTTTGTGTATCCATATGCTCTTGCCCTACCGTCAACAGGATGGATATGGGGTCCACAATAAACTTGCCACTTCGGTGGCAAAATCTAAATCTGAGCTGCAAATGCGCAGAGTTCTCAAGAACATGGAGGAGAACACAGAACGTTTAACTCTGTCCAAAAGTGATGAATAATAGTGTACATAACAGCAGTTATTTGTTGATTTTTTGTATATTTTGAATTTAAATTATTGGTTTCTTTTAATAATTAAAGTATCTAAAAATGACAGTGAGTTACTTTGTTCAAGCAGCAAATTTTATGGATGGAGCTAGGATAGCTTATTTTAGTAGGAATTGATTTATATCTATATTCTTAGGCATTAAACATAGAACGCCACCCACATATCTGTACCATTTAGCTTTATCAGGAAAAATTCTGTTAAGCAGTCTGGTTTGCTGAGGACTGGTGAGAGAAGATTTCCCGTTGCCATACCAATTTTTTAATGTAAAACTCTCCATTAAACACACTTTACATCAACAACACAACGTTTAATAAATCAATAACTGTTGATACGAACATTGGTCATCATAATTACAGAAGTCTTCTGATGGGAAACTTAGTAAATCATCAACTGGGACGTTTGTGAATTACGATGTGACATCAAAACTAACCATATTGTAATCATATAAGTCAGTACCATTTTTCAGCATTCGACTTAAGGGGCACTTCAATTTCCCTGTCTTCTAATAATATATTATTTTTTCCCTGTAATCTACCTTGTCCATGATTACTATCTCATTTGTTTTGTCTGATTTCATAAGGTGAAGTCCAGGATCTTTCCTTAATTCATGGTATAATTTAACAAATCTTTGAGGACGATTGTGTTGTAGACAAACCAAATGCGATAGTAATTAGGAACAAGGTAGATTATAGGGGAAAATAATAATGGTATTAGGAGACAGGGAAACTGAGGCGCCTCGTAAGAAGACCGTTGTGCAGGCGAAATGTTTCCACAATGAAGATAACCAAATATTGCAAATATGTTTTATTCATTAACATGCCAGCGAGTCTCAAGATCTTCCTAACGTGACCAGTAGACGTACCGGGGTGTTTCTCAAATACTAACCCACTGTTTTTTGTACCACCTTTTAATGCTCTCTCCTACCTAAAAATTTAAATGCACTACTTCGCAGCAGACTTGAAAAAGTCTGCTGCGAAAAGGAAACGTCGTCTAAATGAACTTTCCAGTTGCTGCTGAAAGTATTCCCAAAGTGTCTACTGCTAAAAACTATTTTCCACTATATTTCACAAGAGAAATTTTCTTTAATTATTTCATATAATAATAAATTGCTTTTTAATGGGTAGTCTTTTGTATATTGTATTTATTAATAATATTTAACTTCAAATGCCTCATATATAAATCTTGTGAAATAAGGTTCATAGATTTATTTGTCCTCTGTTTTAGAAAGGAATCTGAAAGAAAATTCTTGGCAATTTCTTGATCCTTTTTATTACATGATAATCTTATAAAAACTATAATAATATCCATTGCAGGAGAAGGAACACAGACGCCAGTGACTAACAGCAGTGATTCGCTCCAGGATACCGACAGTGACAATAACGAAGGTAACAACAATGTTGTGTGGATGTTCTGTGGTGTCGCCGGAGCCATCGCTATGGTGTTGTTGGGACTGAAGTTCGTCATCAAAGAGATCATTATCAAAACACACAGGCAGCAAGAGAACCTACAGTGTTCTGCCTCCAACATCATGCACACACCTGCACCTACATCTCCCGAAGCATCTCCTTCAACACCTGGGTTAGGCACTGAGAGTCAAGTCTTGCATCTTGGATCACTGGGCATCAGAACCATCCTCTCAGAATCACCTTGTGCACCTCGGTGTTGTGTATTAAATGACCGTTTGCTTCTACAGTACAAAGCGGTCCGGTTTCTACCTGAATTTGATGGTGCTGGAGAGAGCAATGATGTAAATATTAGTAGTGGGAATTTAAGCACAACGGTACGATGTGGAAATTTTGAATACAGAACACTTCCAAGGAAGACTGATGTGCAGCCATCAGCAACCAAGGTGCAGATACGCTCTTCTCTCGATGACCATGTATATGAGAGTGTTACAGACTATGAAGTATCACCTGGTAGCCACACTAGCAACAACAGCATTTATGATTCATATGACTCATTCTGTCAACAAACTTGATGAGGGAGACTGTCAGAGAATGTGATCATGAACAGAATTCTCCAGTGAAGGTAATCTTAGTCTGTACGGGTGTAGCGCTCTTCCATGATTATAATAACAATCTTTGAAATTGTTATGAGTTATAGTGTGGTTCCCTGCTGAACTATATAAGTTACTGTGATAATTATTTCGTACTCTTATTACTGCCGTGTTTTATCAAGTCTTCATGCACAGCAATATATTATATTAATCAACATACAATGTGTCCAGTTTCAAATATAAACTACAGTTTATAGAATATAATCTAGAGTACATAGAATATAGAAACAACTTTTATTATTTAGCAATGGATAATATTAAATTGGGTTTAATATGAAGGACCCCAATGGAAATAAGTCACTTTGTCTGGCTTTTTTGGGTTATCCTAGATTCCCTATGCATATGCTGCTATGTATGATAATCTGTGCAATTGTATTTGTGTATGCCTGAATAAACTTACTTATTAACTTAATGTAAAATTTGTCTGTTCATTCCACACTACTTTACCTTCCACCCATATACTTTTTGTTTTTGGGGGCAATGTTTGTTGTAGAGGCATTGGGCTTTTTTAGAAAATTATTTATACATTCATTTATGTCTGTATATGTTTCGAGCTCATTTTGCCAATCGATGTTATTCATAGCTGCTATAAAGTTGTTAACAGCTGTCTTGTCATGTACTCTGAAGGTTGCTTTAATAATGTCTTGTGGCAATTTGCCCAGATTAGTTATGAGAAAGGTTGGGTAGTGGTCTGTAGTGTTGTCTGTGATTATGCCTGATTTTAAAGGGGATATGGCATTTGTCCAAATGTGGTCTATTAAGGAGATATTTGTCTCGGTGATTCTTGTAGGTTTAGATATTGCTGGTAGCAACAGGCAGTTGCTTATAGTGTTTGTGAATTCGGTTACTTGTGGGTCCTGGTCGTATAGTATGTTTATGTTGAAATCACCTGTTAGTAGCAGGTGGTCTTTATTCATGTGTGCATCAGTAATCATGTTTCCTAGTTTGTAACTAAAGTGGTAAATGTTTGACTGTGGTACTCTGTAGATGTTTATAACTGTGAGGGGCTTTTTGCAGGTCTTTTGATTTAAATTTGGCTATGATATATTCTCCATGTTCATCCCTTGTGCAAGATTTATTGATACATTCGAGTTGATTTGAGTAGTATATAGCTGTTCCTCCCCCTTGCTGGTCTGTTCTACAGTTGTGTATGGACATGTAGCCAGGAATGGTATAGAAATCTGTAATATCAGGCTTAAGCCAGGTTTCTGTGAGTGTGATGATTGATATATTGGAATGAAGGGAATTGAGTAATGCTGTGAGGTCGTCATAATGTTTGCTCAAGGATCTGACATTGTAGTTAAAGATGGTTATGTTATTGTTTGCACTGAGTAATGTCTTTGCTTGGTCTGCTGTGTAGTAATTACAGTTACTGGTTGATTCATGTAATTCATTTTGTAAAAAGTTTACATCAGGATCTATGTCTGTAGTCATAAGATGAGAGTAATTTTACAAACTAGATTTTCTGAGTAAAATAATATAAGAGTTATACTGAATCTACAACTAGACTTAGGAATAATACTATGTAATTATTCTAAAACTTTTAAAAATATAGAACAACTATGGATTATTATAGAATAGATAATTCAGTTATACATTTTGGGATCTAAATAGCACCTTAATTATTTAAAAAAATGTGAGCTTATGAACTACGGTAGATATTTACAGCTAAAATAAAGGAGCTAGTGAATATAATAATCAAAGAATGAACTAAAAAAACAAAAACAGTAGCACCTGAGATAGTCAATAGCACCTGGATTATTTTAATAAATGTGACTATATGGACAAGAGGGAAAAATATTAAAACACCTGAAACTGACCCTTTAATTGTTATTAAAACTAATGAGTATAGCAGTTACTGAATAAAGGGCGGTACAATGTATTGGTATATAGAGAATTATTTCAGGAGAAATGTAAAAAGGGACTAAATTAAGTAGTGGTAAACAACCTTTAAAGGATAGATAGTCACTATGATATGAAATTAACCTGAGAGTAAGATTTGACTTATAGCATAAAGTTTGAGCAATTAATATCACAAAAGCGAGCGGCCCATGTCCTTTCGCATGCTATTATCACTAGAAACTAGCACTTTCCCGACACTACTCGAGACAGCAAGGGTTACACCAATACATAAAGGTGGTGACCCTACAGACGTAAACAGCTATAGGCCAATATCAAGCTCACCATTGCTATCCAAAATCTTCGAGAAACTCGTGCACAGGAGACTATATTCATTTATAACGTCACAAAACATACTCAACCACTGAAGATTTGGATTTAGGAAAAATAAAAGCACTAATGATGCAATTATGAAAATGCTAGACCTGCTTTACACAGCATTGGAAAATAAGGAATATCCGCTAGGAATTTTTATTGACCTTTTATTGGCCTGTACATTGCAGAGTCACTTGTTTGCACAGAACTGCTAAATGCCTCAAATGATGTAGTGGAAGTTTTAGCAGTAAAGGTCGAGAACCAAAACCTAGTCATTGTGGTAGTCTACAAGCCTCCGGATGCAACATCCCAGCAATTCCAGGAACAGCTGTTAAAAATTGACCACTGTATGGAAAATCTTCCAGCTCCTGCACCCAACATCTTGCTCCTGGGGGATTTCAACTTAAGGCACCTAAAATGGAGGAATATATCAAATAATATTGTTGCAGAAATAACACCAGGAGGCAGCTCTGATGAAAACTCACACTCACACGAGCTTTTAAATCTCTGCACAAAATTCAATTTAAACCAGCAAATAATAGAGCCTACTAGACTGGAGAATACACTAGACCTCATCTTAACTAACAATGGGTGATCTGATAAGAAATGTCACCATATCAAAAACAATATACTCAGATCACAACATAATTGAGGTTCAGTCATGTATGCGCGGAGCCCCAGACCGACATAATGAGATTAGTCACGAGGGAGCATTCACCAAATTCAACTTCAATAACAAAAACATAAAGTGGGACCAAGTAAACCAAGTCCTAACCGATATAAGCTGGGAAGATATACTAAGCAACACAGACCCCAACTTATGCCTAGAACAGATTAACTCGGTGGCACTCGATGTATGCACAAGGCTTATTCCTCTAAGAAAAAGGAGGAGTAGATGTAAAATAGAAAGAGACAGGCGCTCCCTTTACAGGCGACGGAAAAGAATAACAGAGCGGCTGAAAGAGGTCAATATATCTGAAATGCGTAGGGAGACACTGGTCAGAGAAATAGCAAGCATCAAACTTAAGCTAAAAGAATCCTTTAGGAGTCAGGAATCGCGGGAAGAACTAAAAGCCATAAATGAAATCGAAAGAAACCCAAAGTATTTCTTCTCCTATGCCAAATCAAAGTCGAGAACAACGTCCAGTATTGGGCCCCTACTTAAACAAGATGGGTCCTACACAGATGACAGCAAGGAAATGAGTGAGCTACTCAAGTCCCAATATGACTCAGTTTTTAGCAAGCCGCTAACCAGACTGAGAGTCGAAGATCAAAATGAATTTTTTATGAGAGAGCCACAAAATTTGATTAACACAAGCCTATCCGATGTTATCCTGACGCCAAATGACTTCGAACAGGCGATAAATGACATGCCCATGCACTCTGCCCCAGGGCCAGACTCATGGAACTCTGTGTTCATCAAGAACTGCAAGAAGCCCCTATCACGAGCCTTTTCCATCCTATGGAGAGGGAGCATGGACACGGGGGTCGTCCCACAGTTACTAAAAATAACAGACATAGCCCCACTCCACAAAAGGGGCAGTAAAGCAACAGCAAAGAACTACAGACCATAACATCCCATATCATAAAAATCTTTGAAAGGGTTCTAAGAAGCAAGATCACCACCCATCTAGAAACCCATCAGTTACACAACCCAGGGCAACATGGGTTTAGAACAGGTCGCTCCTGTCTGTCTCAACTATTGGATCACTACGACAAGGTCCTAAATGCACTAGAAGACAAAAAGAATGCAGATGTAATATATACAGACTTTGCAAAAGCCTTCGACAAGTGTGACCATGGCGTAATAGCGCACAAAATGCGTGCTGAAGGAATAACAGGAAAAGTCGGTCGATGGATCTATAATTTCCTCACTAACAGAACACAGAGAGTAGTCGTCAACAGAGTAAAGTCCGAGGCAGCTACGGTGAAAAGCTCTGTTCCACAAGGCACAGTACTCGCTCCCATCTTGTTCCTCATCCTCATATCCGACATAGACAAGGATGTCAGCCACAGCACCGTGTCTTCCTTTGCAGATGACACCCGAATCTGCATGACAGTGTCTTCCATTGCAGACACTGCAAAGCTCCAGGCGGACATCAACCAAATCTTTCAGTGGGCTGCAGAAAACAATATGAAGTTTAACGATGAGAAATTTCAGCTACTCAGATATGGTAAACATGAGGAAATTAAATCTTCATCAGAGTACAAAACAAATTCTGGCCACAAAATAGAGCGAAACACCAACGTCAAAGACCTGGGAGTGATCATGTCGGAGGATCTCACCTTCAAGGACCATAACATTGTATCAATCGCATCTGCTAGAAAAATGACAGGATGGATAATGAGAACCTTCAAAACTAGGGAGGCCAAGCCCATGATGACACTCTTCAGGTCACTTGTTCTATCTAGGCTGGAATATTGCTGCACACTAACAGCACCTTTCAAGGCAGGTGAAATTGCCGACCTAGAAAATGTACAGAGAACTTTCACGGCGCGCATAACGGAGATAAAACACCTCAATTATTGGGAGCGCTTGAGGTTCCTAAACCTGTATTCCTGGAACGCAGGAGGAGAGATACATGATTATATACACCTGGAAAATCCTAGAGGGACTAGTACCGAACTTGCACACGAAAATCACTCACTACGAAAGCAAAAGACTTGGCAGACGATGCACCATCCCCCCAATGAAAAGCAGGGGTGTCACTAGCACGTTAAGAGACCATACAATAAGTGTCAGGGGCCTGAGACTGTTCAACTGCCTCCCAGCACACATAAGGGGGATTACCAACAGACCCCTGGCAGTCTTCAAGCTGGCACTGGACAAGCACCTAAAGTCAGTTCCTGATCAGCCGGGCTGTGGCTCGTACGTTGGTTTGCGTGCAGCCAGCAGCAACAGCCTGGTTGATCAGGCTCTGATCCACCAGGAGGCCTGGTCACAGACCGGGCCGCGGGGGCGTTGACCCCCGGAACTCTCTTCAGGTAAACTCCAGGTAAGAAAAGCGTTTGACACAGTAGACCACGGCATCCTACTCCACAAACTTGACCACTATGGTATAAGAGGCCATGCGCTTGCATATTTTAAATCCTACCTTTCTAACAGGTATCAGTATGTCACCATTAAAGACACAGCCTCATCAATACGGCCACTTGATACTGGAGTTCCGCAGAGAAGTGTCCTTGGACCCCTGCTCTTCCTCATTTACATCAATGATCTTCCAAACATATCCCAACACCTGAAACCCATTCTCTTTGCTGACGGCACGACTTATGTCATCTCCCACCCTAATCTTGCCACCCTCAACACCATTGTTAATGAGGAGCTGCTCAAAATATCGACTTGGATGACAGCCAATAAACTTACACTTAACACTGGCAAAACCTACTATATTATGTTTGGTAGCAGAACAGGTGTTGCGCAACTTAACATTAAGATCGACAACACTCTAATTGCCAGACGTAATGAGGGCAAATTCCTTGGCCTATACCTCGACAACAACCTAAATTTCAGCACCCATATCCAACACATGACAAAAAAAGTATCCAAAACGATGGGGATCCTTTCCAAGATACGATACTACGTGCCACAAACTGCCCTTCTCACACTATACCATTCACTTATATATCCATACCTCACCTATGCTATCTGTGCTTGGGGTTCAACTGCAGCAACACACCTAAAGCCAATAATAACCCAACAAAAAGCTGCAGTAAGAATAATCACTAAATCCCATCCCTGGTAACACCCCCCCCCCACTCTTCATAGATCTAAACTTACTCCCTGTTCAGAACATCCACACTTACTACTGTGCAATCTATGTCTACAGGACCTTAAATTTCAATATTAACCTTGACCTAAAACGCTTTCTTGATAGTTGTGACAGGATCCAAAAGCATAACACCAGACACAAACATCTCTATGACATTCCCCGTGTTCGACTAAACCTTTACAAAAAATCATTGTATTTCAAAGGACCTAAAATCTGGAACACACTACCTGAAAACTCTGGAACTGCAGACACATTCATCACTTTCAAAACTACAGTTAGAAAACATCTTATCTCCCTGATCCACCCCGACAACTAACTACATGATAACCACCTGGTGGTTCACAATTACACTCACTCATCCACTGATTTAAAAACCCAAAAAATACTAATTTAAATCTTAAAAAAATTTAAATTTCCTAACTAGTCAAAAGTTTCCTATGATACTTCAATATAGCTTTTTGATTGTCCCAAAACAAAAGCATTACATTGCTAAACTCAAAAATTTTATGATGTGTCACTTACCCTTAATACCTTTAATCTGAAAAGGTTTTTAAATTTTAAAAATTAATTATGTTGCTCGAAATGTAGCCATGGGGGGGTGTCCTAGTGGCCCCTCTGAAAATTAGTTTTTTAAAAACAGGGAAAAACCACAAAAATATCCAAAACCTGTAAACCCCACATTGTAACCCTTATAGAGAATAAACATACACTAGTTGGTTATTTGTAGTTTGGGAGCAAAGGGAAAATTTGGTCAAATTGTAAGAGAATTATAACAGTGTTTAAATAGGAATAATTGGTAATACAAATATTATTATAGAATAAGTATCTTATTATCAAATAATAAATAGTATGTCCTTGTTTGAATACGGGGTGGAAAAAGTATTTTTTTCGTCTAACAACGAGTTTATTTATGTTCTGAGTGGAGCGGTCATGTAACCGAAAGCTCCATAGATCTCATCATCATACTGATGAATAAGAAACACTTACAACACATGGGTAATTTTATAGCCTGTACATGGAAAACAAAGTTTTTTTTTAGGTAATCAGTCCCTCAGCCTTGATTGGTGGTCAGTCCCAGAGCCTAAAGCAGAGACTGTCAATATCATGATAATATATTAGTGAGAAACGAAGTTCTGAAAATGGTCTTTTCTACAATGGGCACAGTTTACTGCCCTATGGCAAAAACCTGGTGAGTCTTTGGTTCAAGTGGGCACGTTA